TGTGTGTGTGTGTGTGTGTGTGTGTATGTATGTGTGTGAATTGATTCATTCACCTTTAGCTCCCTCCAATAAGTGAAAACATGTGGTATTTCTTTTTCTCTGCCTGACTCGTTTCACTCAATATTATTCTCTCAAGGTCCATCCATGTTGTTGCAAATGGCAGTATTTCATTCGTTTTTATAGCTGAGTAATATTCCATTGTGTAGATATAGCACATTTTCCGTATCCACTCATCCGATGATGGACATTTGGGCTGATTCCAACTCTTGGCTATTGTAAAGAGTGCTGCAATGAACATTGGGGTACAGGTATACCTTCGACTTGATGATTTCCATTCCTTTGGATATATTCCCAGCAGTGGTGTGTAAATCAGTTGTAACCTTGAGAATCTGAAAGTTAGATCATTTATAATAAGATGCTAAATATGTGATTGAGAAGTCCAGAAAGGATAAATCAGCAGGTATGTGAGGGATGTGTTGGAGACAAGTGGGGCTTTGGGGATGAAACGTGTGACTAGGTAAAGGGGAAGGTCAAGTGTCATGATAGGGAGGACAGAATGGTGAAAGCTCAGGTGTGGGCAGCCCAGTGGTGGTTCGGGCCCCTCCCAGTCAGTTTCCCCTCTCAATATACTAGCCGTGAGCATAGACTCAGCTCAGCCCTTGCAGCAAATTTAATGAGGGAAAAGCTTTATCTCACAGGGTGGTTTACTAACGCATGTAAGTGTCCGGCATATCAGTCCCCAGCACACAAACAGCTCCTGTCCCGTTCTACTCAGCCCCTTCTGCTCTAAGTGACCAGGCCTTCAGTCCCTCCCCCTTTTAGGGTCCCAATTCCAGTCAGAGACAGGTGGGCCTATGTAAGTTGAACACAAGAGGTGTGATCTCAATTTAAGGAGCCCAGATTCTTTCCTTTTCTCTGCACCTGGCAACACTATTTACCTGCTGTGTGCAATTAACTCCCTTCAAGATTGAAAAGCTCCCTATTAGCTTAAAATTTGATAATTCCACAACGGGCATGATCTACGCTAACTGTGTATTTTATTGTAAGCAGTGTTAAATTTAAAATATGCATGTTTAAAGTCTGCTAAACACACACACACACAAAATAATACATAAGTTTAATATAATACCAATTAAATTTCATTGAATGTCTTGGACCTTGTCAAAGCATTTCTAAAATTTATCTCAAAAGTGCTAGAAATGGCCAAAAAAAATTGAATAGAAGAAATAGAGACCTTTTCTTGTAAGTATTAATGTATAATGTAGGCTAGAATAAGTAAATACTGGTGTTTGCATATGAATAGA